TGCAGTGAGATTCCACTTTCTCAGAGACTTGGTGAATGATCAAGTAGTCAGCCTAGCATACTGCAGTTCAAATGAACAAGTTGCTGACATTATGACCAAACCTCTGAAACTTGATCAATTTGAAAGGATTCGAAGCATGCTTGGAGTTATAAAAGTCACTAAAGTAAGCTAAATGCAACAGACGCATGTAGCTTAGGGAAGGAATGTTAGTCAAAAGGTTATGTCAGTTAATAAAGCTCCAATATTCAGAGCTGTTAGTTTGTCCTATTATTTAGGAGATAGTTGAGTTTTTTATTCTGCCTTTTTTGGTAGCCATTTAGATCGTGGCTCTGTTGCAGTTTATTCTCTGTTTATTTTCTGTCATGTAAGGCTTATATAAGCCAACCCTTCTGGATTAATAAAAGCATTCTCTCACAGAGTACATTTAGAGTTACTCATACCTTCATATTTAACAAGACCAAGGTTCTAATTACGCAAAATAATCGTTCGAGTAAGGGACAAATAGGGTTCAAGTGCGGGAGAAGGAGGGCTCGATTGGAGGAGTGCGATAACAAAGTTTCAATGAGGGATAACCATGGTTGCAATAAGGGAGAAAGAGGGTTCGAGTGGTTCGATTAAAAGAGAAACAACATTGAGTGGCTCGAGTGAGGAAGAAACAATGCGAGAAGTGTGAGTAATTTGCAAAGCCATATTCTCAATAACTTATTTTTATTTTTTATTTATTAATTATTTCAAAATCTGTACGTAAAATTAGTAGGTAAATACTTTTTCAGTTACATACAGATATATCCTTAAAAAATTTCCCTCCCAAAGGCGTCAACATTACATACGAAAAATCCATATGTAACTTGCTTTTCCCTTACCTACGAAAAAATTCATTTGTAACATGCTCATTACCTACTGATCAAGATCTGAATGTAATAATTTATATGTAAATCGCAATTTTCTTGTAGAGATGTCGATTTTAGAATTAGTATAAATACTACATACATATAAATTTTTACTTTTGATGGCAAATCTAGAACTAAGATAAAAAGTTTATATTCTATGCCGGTTCAAAACCACCATGAAAAGTTCAGTTGGAGAATAAGAAAGTCTTTAATAAAAGTCACTTTCTGTGTCGATTCTTAGAATAGTTGATAGAAAATGTGACTTTGTATGCTAGTTAAGGCTACAATTAGCATAAAAAATCACATTTTCTATGCCCATGTAATGATAGTAATTTAAAAGAAGTTTCGTGTAATGCATCTATGTTCAACAAAATAAAAAATTGTAATTGATGAAAGAGATAAGAATGAATGTAAATGAATGATGTGAGGGTGAATAAAGGAACTAAGGAGAAAAGTGTGAATAGAGTTGATGAATTGGTAAAGAAAATGAGAAGAGTGTTACGAAGATGAGAAGAATAGCGTAAATGAATATGAGAAATAGAGTTAAAATGAAGGAGATGTGTGTTAGATGAACGAAATGAGTATGAATAAATAAGATGAATCTTGATGAAATAGATTTATGTGATGATATTTATTAATGTAAATAATTGAAATGAGTGTGGATATAAAAGATGAGTATAAGAAGATTTATATAAAAAATGAGAAAAAAATGAAATTTTTTTGTCACATTTAAATTTGAACATTTAGATAAAAAATAATTTACAAAAGACGTAGATATTGATACTATATAAATTAACATGGATTAAATAGATGTCTAACATTATTTATTTTAAATAATATAGGCTAAATTGAGGTTAGTCTAACATTGATATTAATATAAATATTTGTACTTATTAAAAAACTGTTTAAATATTATTTTAATATTTTTTTAACAGTAATTTCATTACTTAGGTTCGGTTAAATAAACTCTAATCAAAATTTGACCTACTCTAGTACTTGAAAGCTATGTTTTTTGGTCGTGAACTGTGTAAATGATATTTAATGCACACGATTTTTCTTAATATGTTTTGTATCGTATATATAAAATTTAAACACTCAACTCAAAGAACAATAAATTTGGATAAATTTGAATTGGTGCACTGATTAAAAACAATACTTGAATAAACAAAACTGCAGTACTTCACAATGCTGTCTAAAATTATCTTTTAAAGCATATACATAGAGGTTGATAATTTTTGCTCTAAGAAAAAACTATTTAAAATACTTAGGAATTGTCAAATACTTAAAGGCCGACTTGAAGATTTTTATCAGTAAACTAGATTTTTGAAAAATTATTAAATAAGTTGAAAATATATGACATCCATTTATGACTGAGGAGATTGTTGAGGTGGATATATTTTTTAGTTAAATTACACGTTGGTATAGCAATGCAAAATGTTATACAATTAGAATTTTTTAAATTTTGTTTTGTTTTGCTGGAGTAAAATGATATAAAAATATAGTAAATATAAAAAAAATGTATAAAAATATATGAATAGAAAATCACAGAATGGATTTCATTTTTCAATTTTAATTTTATCATAGAGAAGGGATTGACTTTGGAACTGGTTTAAGAAAAGGAATTGGCTTAACAATGGGAACTAGTTTTGGTTTAAGGGATTGGCTTAACAAGGGGAATTGGCTTGGCTATGGGAATAGGTTTTGGTAAAAAGCCTTTGAATTTTTCTTCTTAATTGGGAATGGGCTTTAGAATAGGCTTACCTGTGGGAGTTGGTTTAAAATGGAAAACATCCTTCGAATTTTGGTTCTTGATCATATCTTTGAATACTTGTTTTGCAAACTCTTAATTTGTCATATGTTTATAGAAGTCAAAAATGTTTAACACCGTTGTTGTTGCTGCTGTCATAATGCATCGATGCTCATTAAATGAGCCTCCCAAATTAGTTGTTTCTTTTCTTTTTTATTGTTTCGAGAACAAAAATGCTGAATGGTAGAAAACTTTATAGCAAGAAAAATACTGTCTGTGTAAAAGTAAAAATGATAGAATTTCTAAACTCTTATATTTGATATTTATAAGCTGATAGCCTGCATCCATCATTAATTAACACACCAAAAACAAAGGTGTTAAAGACTATTGACCTCTCTAAACAAACATCAAAGATGCAACCACCCACATTATCATCCTAATTAACATAATCTAAAATTTCAAACCATGTAATGACTACTCACAAATCAACTCAAAGCTTTTGTAGGTGCTGTTAAGAAAAATCCTGAAAGCTAGACATTATAAATAATGTGATTATGCATAAACTTGTGACTCAAGCCTTCAGACATTTCTCCTTTTAGCTTCCATTAGTTCTTTTAACAATGAAAAAACTCTTGTGCTTCTTCTTTCCCTTGTTGCTCCTTCTCAACTTAGCTTCTGTTCTTTCCACAACTCAAATTTCAGGTTTGTGCTTATCATTCTTCTTCCACATATATCAGGTTTTTTTAGTAAGTTTTCAAAATATATTAAACTATAGACTAATCCTGGTGAACTTCATTCGTTTTGTTATTTAATAACTGCATTTTTTATGCAGGAAATGAAGTGAAAGAGAATGGGATGGTTGTGAATGAAGATTTAGAAAAAGTAAATCCAGAAGGACATGATGATGAAGAAGCAAAATTCAAAGGATTGTTTCCTAAACCAATTCCATTTGCTAAACCTATTCCAAAGCCACTTCCTCTCATTAAACCTATTCCAATTCCATTGTATAAGAAACCAACACCAAAACCGATCCCCAGTGAAGAAGCAAAATTCAAAGGTATTTTCCCAAAACCTATTCCCAAAGTTAAGCCAATACCAAAGATAATTCCTGTTGTTAAGCCTATTCCCATTCTTAAACCTATTCCAAAGCCATTTGTTAAGCCTATTCCTATTCTTAAACCCGTTCCTAAACCATTTGTTAAGCCTATTCCTATTCTTAAACCAGTTCCAAAACCATTCGTTAAGCCAATTCCTATTCTTAAACCTGTTCCAAAGCCATTTGTTAAGCCAATTCCTATCCTAAAACCCGTTCCAAAGCCATTTGTTAAGCCAATTCCTGTCCTTAAACCTGTTCCAGAACCATTTGTTAAGCCAATTCCTAAGCCTGTCCCTACCATTGAGTCAGAGGAATTCTTAAAACCAAAGCCTTTCTTGAAGAAGTCTATTCCTAAACTACCATTTGATCCCAAATTCAAGAAACCATTTCTACCACCATTGTCTTTTAAGAAGCCAATTCCAGCTCCTTAAAATCATAACAGTCTTCAAAATATAAGGATAATGGTTTTATATATGTGGCACCATCTTTAATTCAACCGCAATCATAATTTGGATAATCCTTTGGTACCCGGCTTGTGTACTCCATTCCAAATATATATGTACTTGATGTTTTTCATTAATGAAGTTCTCAATATTATGTTAATTAAAATAACAAATGTTACTGAATTTGCATTTTTATTTAATTAGTATTTCCATTTGACATATTGAAGAGGTGGGCTATTTAAAAATTGTAATTTTGTGTGAAAGTGATATAACTATTTTTACACAAGACTTCAATTCTACAAATTGAATTTATAAACTTTATTTTTTATGACTTACTTTTTTAAAAAGTATTTAAACAAAGTTAATTAAGAATGATATTTATACCGTACTTGTCTTACATGAACCCATTAAAAATATATATTTAGTATAAATTTACCCACAGAATATATACATTACATCCGTGTATATAACTATATTGGTTAGCGTCTGCGCATAAGAATCTGATTGACCGACTAGCATATATATTTAAGAAATAAATATAAGTAAGACTTAATTGAAAAAAAAAAGTCATAGAAAAACTATTTAAAATTTAATCCAACAATGCATTAATAGATGTAATTACTAAGTAATTTAAAAAGCAATTAAAAATAGTTAAAAACATATGACTTAAGTTAACAATGCATTTCCATTAGGTTTACAAAAGACAATAACGTTTTATTATGCTTAGAGTTCGGAATAAATTCAATGAATTGTTTAATTAAGTGATATATATATATATATATATATATATACACTATTTTCTACTAATTTCTGCCCTTTGATCAATGTACAATATGATCAAAACCAGTTTATATGGGAAGTTTGTGATGTATAACTGTGTAGAGGCAATGTATTGCTGGGATGATACAGTATCAATTATGTCAATATTTATACGGGAAGTTTGTGACACAATTGATAAGAACCTCGTATTGAAAACGAGTGAGAATAAATGTTCCAACCTCGAATAACCTGTCTTTATTTTATTTATACATACTTATTTTATTTATTCCAAAAATTGACTTAATGTTTTTTTAATGTGAGTTTAATGTTTATACGTACTTATTAAAAAGTCAATTATACAATTTAATGAAAATATTATTAAAACTTTATGCTATCAGAATATTCCAATAAAAAGTCAATTATTTACCAATACAACAATTTAATGAAAATATTATTAAAACTTTATGCTATCAGAATATTCCAATAAAATTGTCTTTTTTGAGACACAATTCAACAATATAATTGTCACAAGGAGTGTGGCAGTAATTATTTGGGAGATTGTTTAATCAATTTCTGTAGTTCTTAGTGATGACATCAATCTCACATTCCTCTCACACTCTTTTTTTACTGTGTCTTTATTTCTTCTCTTCCATACAGACTTGCAATGGTGGTTTCACTGTGGAGATCATCCACCGTGACTCACCAAAATCACCGTTCTATCGTCCCACAGAAACTCAACTCCGACGAGTTGCCAAAGCTGTTCATCGCTCCCTTCGTCGTGCTAACCATTTCAACCAAACTTTTGTCTCGAAAAACACAGCTGAGTCCACTGTGACACCAGGTATAGGTGACTACGTGATGAGCTATTCAGTTGGAACCCCAGAATTCAAAGTTTTTGGCATCGTTGACACAGGCAGTGATATTGTTTGGATGCAGTGTCAACCTTGTAAAACATGTTTCGACCAAACCACTCCAATCTTCAATCCTTCAAACTCCACCACCTACGAAACCCTTCCATGTTCTTCTACTTCATGTAAATCAGTGTCAGATAACTCTTGCAATTCACACAAAAAGAAAAACTGTGAATACAGTATTTTCTATCAGGATGGCAGATACTCGCAGGGAGATCTTAGTTTGGAGACACTCACTTTAGGCTCCACCATTGGCTCTTCTGTCAAATTTCCCAGAACTGTGATAGGATGTGGACGTAACAATAGTTTTTTCTCTGAAGAGAAAAGTTCTGGCATAGTTGGTTTAGGTCAAGGATCTTTGTCGCTGATATCTCAGTTGAGTTCTTCAGTAGGTGGAAAGTTTTCTTATTGTCTTGCACCAATAGATAACATAGCTAGCAAACTCAGTTTTGGAGATGCTGCTGTGGTTTCTGGGAATGGCACTGTTTCCACCCCAATAACCTATCATGGTCATTACTACCTGACCCTGGAAGCACTCAGCGTTGCAAAAAACAGAATAAGGTTGGGAAAATCTAATAATGGAGAGGGAAATATCATAATTGACTCAGGCACAACACTCACTCTTTTGCCAGACGATGTTTACTCAAAGCTGGAATCAGCAGTGGCACGTGAAGTTAAGTTAAAACGTGTTAAGGATCCATCTAACCAGTTGAGCCTTTGCTATAAAGGTGCATTTCATGAACTGCATGCACCAGTGATAACATTGCATTTCAGTGGCGATGCAGATGTGAAGTTAGCTGTTGACAACTCCTTCATTGATGGAGGTGATGGGGTAGTTTGCTTTGCTTTCATGGCTAGTAAAACCTTTTCCATCTTTGGAAACTTTGCTCAGAAAAACATCTTGGTTGGCTATGATCTGCAGAAGAAAACAGTCTCCTTTAAGCCCACGGATTGTGTTCAACAGTGATTTGTTTGTTTGATTTGGTCTATGATTGATGCTTGTAATAATAAAACCAATTAATCAACATTCCTTGAAAATGCTTTTCAAACTCAATACAATGTTATAATTTATGCGTGCATATAATTGATTCAGTTGAGTAATCACTGCTCACTTGAAGTATAACAGGTGAACTTTATGTAACCATAGCCATGACAAATTCAGATTAAGAATTACTCCACTTTCTTCGTAGTAAGGTATAGGTATTCTTAATCTGAATTATTTTATTTTATTTTATATTTTTTTCCTCTAAAATTAATGCTTCTATTTTTTTTATATTTTTTTTTCTGTTTCTTTCCGAATTTTTAATCTCAATCTCCACATATGGCTCCGCTTTCTTCATTAACAATTAATCCAAAACCGCGTCTTTTTTACAAAGTAGCATAAAGTGAGATTCCTTATTAATTGTGGGATTTGTAACCAATACAAATTAGCTGTTTCTTGTTGTTTTTGTTTGTTAAAGAATATCTGTTTTGGGATTGGCGGCATGTAAAAATTGAGATGAGATTTGAGGAGAGAGAGAGAAATTAAGGAAAACAAATCGAAGCCCTATCATTAGGGAATGGCATAAAGTTGAGATAGTTAGGCTTGTTTTCTATCAATTTCACCGTTTATTCATACACTAAAAATTGCATTTCGTACTCACATCATCCCTAGCTTAGTTGTTTTTCTGTATTTTTCTGCATTTTAGTTCGTGTGAAGATTTGTGAGCATATCTAATTGGTTTTGATCAATTTAGGACTGTTAATGGTTCTGCAGCTTAGGACAACATAATACCACTTGCATTCAATCAAACACTTAGAGTGCATTACGTTTTCTCTTAGAACTTTTATCAAACAGTTTGTAAAATAGCTTTTCTGCTAGTTTTAGACAGTTTTAAGGGCTGGAGTAGCTTAGACATCATTGATCCGTATATTCTATACTCTCATTTCATCAATTCATACATTACATATTTATTTAGGAGCTAAATCAAGAAAGCAGAGTTAATTGTGCATATTAGCAATTATTTAAGTACTGGATCAGTAGCTTATAGTATATATTTTAGATAGTTGTACAGTAGAATTAGTTGTTTTCCTCACTCTAATCACATCATAGACACTATAACTAGTTAAGTGATTGTTCTATTCTTGGATTAATTTTTGGTTAGTCTTATACTAAACAAAACATCATTATTTGTATAAACTTGAGTCGACTTAGAATTTATCAGTCTCCACGTTTCACCAAGTAATTTGCTCTATTACTCATAAAGTATTCATGAAAAAATGTACAAGTTTTTTTTGTTACATATGTGGTACAGATGGATATTTTTGATATTTCATTTTTAAATTTAAAATAAAATTATTTAAAAATAAATCTTTAAAATATAAATTTAGTTTAAAAAAATATTTTTAAATAAAATTTAAATAACATTTTATACTAAAATATTAATACAAATAAAGTTGGTCGTTTTAAAAGATAAATTTAAATGAGTTATGTAAAATTTATATCTTCAATCTCATAGATCTAAATAAAAAGAATAAAGATATATGAAGTCAATTTTAAAATTTATCCATGATTATAATATGTCTTTCTCTTTGATCTTAAATTTTAAAGAAACTACTTAAATAAAATTTATTAATAATTATTAGCAGAAGTGACTATTTACAGGTAGAAAACCATAATACTTGTACCTCCTCTTTTAAGCGAGTAATTTTATATTGATACTCATAATTCATGAATATTAATTGAAAAAATATAGCAATAACAAAGTATTAAATAAATATAATAGGACATTTGGGATGTCCTAATCCTTTTACAAATTAAAAAACACTACATAATTGGGTATTATTATGTTGTACCTAACGTAGAAGACTAAAATCATAAATAAGTAAGATTAAATTGGCAGAAGCATTATATCATAATACCACTTGAAGATGTTTAATTACAATTTAGTAAATCACCTCACATATATTTAAAGCACTCATATAGAAAATGATCCAAACAAATAGTTTTCAACATTTATATTACATATTTGTTTTAACTTTTAGATTTGCAGGATATTTTAAAACAGTGGATCTCTTTTTAGTATCATTTAGGCTTCTCACCAATCGAGGTATTTTATGTATATTTAAATTCATGTTCATCTCTTATTTAATCCGATGTAAGAATTTGTTTTTATCCAATATTATCTTTATAGGAATAATGCATCTACTTTTTGCAGTCCACAAAATTCTATACTATATCATTTTTCCTTACTCTCACCTTTCCCTTTCGGCTTGTATTGAACTCCTCTATCGAGAGAACTACTCAATTCCTCTTTGGTGACAATAAAATGTTCGTAGCACATGAATGTGAATGCTTTTGAATATGAAAATTATGCTTTTGAATGCTTTTACTTAAAAGTATTAATTTAATACCCATCACAAATTTTACCTCATAAATATAGGTGGATACGAAATTTTTTTATTATCTTACTAGTCATATGAAGAAAAAGTAATTTGAATTTTTAACTTATTATATCAATTATACCAATATTATTATATTAATATTAATATCAAAAACACTCACAGTTGTAAAAACAACATATAACGTTATGCCTTCAATATCCAATAATTGAATAACCAACATTAACAATGACAGGCGACATTATTGTAAATAAATACAATATTGTAAATAAATACAATCTGTTCAAAGTAGCTCCATCTGTCTAGGTCAATTTTAAAAGTAGTAGTTTGTCCATACTCTTATTTGAATGACCCATTATTCAGAAATTTGTCTCCATGGCGAAACACCACTTCGATATATGAGTTAGCCGTCTCAATTAATATAAAAAATCTTGTCAGACTACATTTACTTTACCCTAGTAACATAAAACTATTATTTTCACTATGATTATAAAGTACACAAAATACTATTTTAATTTATGCTTAAATGTTATGTTAATCTATCTACATTAACAAAATATAATCCCTAGTATTATTGGGGACCATAATCAGACCATAAATAACTAAAACAACTTTATATGGGACCATAAACACAACATAAATAAATAATTTCACATAACATAATGGGGACCACACCGAAAATGAGGCACCACAAGCAAAGGAACAGCAGACATGATGAGGGACAATAAAAAAACAAACCAAGCATAAATCAAACTTTATGGGGAACCACAACGAAAGCATCCATACATAGAACGAAACGTACCATAAACACACCTTCCAATAGAAAGAACTTCGCTTTTCGAAATACTCCACCAACAAGCCAAATACGCATCGAAATCCCCAATTGTGTGCGATTCTCTATTGTAATATATATGAACAAACGTGTGTGATCCCCAACTCAACAACGCTCTATCACAAATGCCATAATTTCTTCTCCTTCAAAAAAAACCCCTAACTTCCTCTCTTGTAGAAAACCCCTAATTTTAATAATGTTTAATTTTTCCCCAATTCTATTATGTCATTATTTACTTTCCACGTCAACCTCTAATTCACTCACTCGTCACAACCTATATTCCCATAAAATAACCTGTTAGCATTGGCTTCTGCTATATCATCAAACACTTTACTTCGTTTGTTTTTATTTAATGAAAATGACTTGATTAAAACAAATTTTACCAGGTATGAACGCAATTAAAACTGTTTTAAAAGGTAAAACCAATTTGACATACGATAATAAAACTAAGGACAAATAAAACAATTAAACTTTTATTATATAATAAAACATAAACTTAGTTTTTATTATTAGCATAATTGACTCACCATTCTAACATAACAATTACGATGACACAACCACCATCACAGGGGGAGATAATTGCGTGAGGAAAAAAAGTACTTCAAAAACTTATTTGATTGACACATTCTAGATGTGGTATTTGATAGTATTGGTCAGTAAAACTAAATAAAATGTCAAAGTTCAATACAAATTTTGTATACGGTAATTAAATGATTTTACTTGAACTTGTATTTAGTTTAATCTAAACAATCTTAACTAGATATTTTACTAATTCTTGAAAAAAGTTTGATTACAAAAAGTTTCTACATAACTACACAGAAAATAAAACAAATTCCTCTTGAATTCTAATTTTTGTTAAAAATGAATTCTAATTTTTGAAAAAGGAATCAAATATATGTCTTTTTCGTTAACCAAACGACGAAGCAAGTAATTAATCCTAAATTTTACAATGAACAACCTATTACTTTGAACAATTCTCCCTTGATCCATCCATGTCTGGGTTCTATATTTGTGTGAGATGTTAGGGTTGAAGAGAAGATGAAACCGGCGACCTCGTATGTGATGCCTTCTATTCATGGGTGAAGGTTTGTGTGTGTGACTCTTTTTTCTTTATCCATAAATCTAAAATTATTTAGAATACTAAATATATATAACATGACAAAATTAAATATTCATATATTAATGTATACATATAACAAAATTTGGGGGTCGAAACCCTATCATGTAGAACCAAGATTCTACATCCACATCACCATTTTACTAGTTGTGATTATGAATATAAATAAACTTATAGCATCAAGTCACTAGTTTTTTTTTATTATTAAAAGTGATAAATAAAATCTTTTCTATCAATCAAAATATTTGGATATTACACATGGATTGTGACTGGCACAGTTCAAGATAAATGTCTTCTTAACCCATTCTATAACTAACATGAAGAGTTCGATTTATACAATAATAAGAAACGGATTCATATTTCTTGGATAAATATGGCAGCCATGCAACTTTAGTATTACAATTTATCAGTGTTTTTCTAAACTTTCAAATTGAAAGTGTTAACGAACACTAATGAATTTGGTAGTTGCCATTTGTATTCAAGAAGGAAGAATCGATTTCTGTCATTATTATATAACTTTTGAACCTTGCATGTTTGTTATAGGATGAACGAGGAGGACATTTATCTTGATCTGTTACCGTCACAATCAATATACAATATTCAAATTATTTTGAATAATAAAACATTTATATTTTTA